GGGCTTCAAACTATGTTCTTCAGCTTTAACTTTGAACACCCACTTGTTCTTCAAAGCTCTCATACCCTTAGGTAATTTCACCAACTCATAAGCATGGTTCTCATGCAGAGATTTCATCTCATCTTGCATGACTTCAATCCATTGATCCTTGTGCTCTTCTTCTATGGCCTCCGCATAACATTCAGGCTCTCCCCCATCAGTGAGTAATACATATTCATTGGGTGAATAACGGGAGGAAGGAGTACGAGGTCTAGAAGACCTCTTGAGTGGAATATCTAACTCGTCCACAGCTTCGTGAGTAGGAGCATCTACCTCATCAACATTAGCATTGTTATCCCCATCACCATCAATATGTTGATCTGGAATATGGTTCTGGGCATCACCATCATCATTGAGCCCACCAGTGTCATCCCCATTTGTATAAGGAACTTGATCAAGATTAACTAAACCTTCAGAACTTGAAGATTTTAACTTCTCCGCTTTGTTANCGTAGTGATAGTGGCCACACGATTGCCATCTTCTTTCTGTTCTTCCTCGTCTCTATTCTCCTTTTTCAAAATCCGGCAGAACTTCTTTGTGTGCCCTTTCTTCCCGCAATGATAACACTCAATATCTTTAAGTTTGCTTCTGGATTTGCTTCTATTATGTTCTCTATTTTGAGAACCCCGATTCTTGCTTCTCCCCCTAGAGTCAGTCACCAAGACATCTGATGAGGAGGAACCCTGAGATTTTCTTCTCATCTCTTCATTTAGAAGGCTGCTCTTGGCAAGATCCATAGAGATCACACCATCCGGAGCAGAATTTGATAATGAAGTTCTAAGAATTTCCCAAGAATCTGGTAGGGAACCAAGTAGAAACAAGCCTTGAATTTCTTCATCAAATTTAATGCCCATAGCAGATAACTGGTTCATGATCCCCTGAAAATTATTCAGATGATCTGTCATCGCGGAACCATCGTGGTATTTTAAACCCAACATCTGCTTTATCAGAAACATCTTGTTGTTTCCAGTTTTCCGAGCATACAAACTTTCAAGGTGCTCCCATAGGGTCCGAGCATGTGTCTCCCCAGAAATATGGTTCAAAACATTATCGTCAACCCACTGTCTAATAAAGCCGCAAACCTGCCTGTGTAACAGATTCCACTCTTCATCTGATTTATTATCAGGCTTTACAGTGGCGAAGACAGGTTGATGAAAATTCTTGACATAGAGCAAATCTTCCATTTTGCCCTTCCAAATGGCATAATTTGTGCCATTCAAGGTAACCATTCTACTAGTGTTGGCTTCCATCGTTTATCACAAATACAAATACTATTTATTAGGAGACCAAAGTAATTCGTTTCTGATGTGGAAGTTTAGACTGTGCTGCAACCACAGAGCATACTCAGATAGAACCTTGGCTCTGATACCACTTGTTGGGAATAAACCCCGTAAAAATAGTATTCACGGTATTAGTGATAAACGCAGAACACTAAGTTATGGTTAAATCAGCAAGAATAGAAATGCAGCAATAATGACACCAAGATTTTACGTGGAAACCCTTCTGAATAAGGGAAAAAACCACGGCCAAGAAGAGCAACTGATATCACTATAGCGAGGAATTTTACACTGTGTAGTAACGAGTAAAAAATACTCCTAAGACCACTACACCCTCAAAAGAAATAAACACTCTTTTGCTTTTTCCACCTCACTACAATATCTCTCACACTCTATTTTTCTTCACAAACTATTTTCTTATAGTTTATGGAATACCTTGCTCTCTCTTTTCTCTCTTTGTTGGTGTGTAGAAATGAGAGTTAAAGCTCTCCTTTTATAGCTAAAACCTCACTCTCTAAAGCCTATAATATTTGACAATTTACACACCCTTTTCACAATTTCAACAAGGTTGGCTACCAAACCAAACCAAGTCAATAAAATTGGCTACCAAATTATACAAATTCAACAAGGTTGGCTACCAAACCAAACCAAGTCAACAAAATTGGCTACCAAATCATTTGAATGAGATGGACACCGTATCACTTTCATGATAATGATGCCACTAATTTTTTGCAGCTGGAAGCTTGTGTATTTTTGTGACTTTGGGATAGTATTCCAGTGTAAGAATATATCTACTTCAACATCCATTCTGTTGTCCTCCTTCACTAGATTTGGGTAGTCATAATTTTGCAAAGTTGACAAAGATATAAGAATTGAATATGTTAAGTGTCCCACATTTGTTGAGGGATGATAGTTTGTCTCTTTATATGGTCTTGGGTCAATTCACACCTGTTTGCGCAAGCTTTTGGTTAGGCCCAAGGTCTATTCCTTATCAAGGTATCGGAGGCCAACCTATCCTCGTTATTGCGTGTCCCAATGTTGGGCCCCAATGTTATGTTATCCACGCTCCACTTGGCAGGGGGAGTGTGAAAGTTGTCCATATTGGTTGACAGATGGGCTGTTTGTCTCCTTATATGATCATGAGCAATGGTCACCTCTTGACTAGTTTTTGGGGTTGAGTTATGTTCAGCGTCCATTTTCTAGAGAGCTTTGGCCTCCAGTGTTTATATATTCCTTCTTAAACCATAGTGAGCTATGGCCCAAGGTTCACTTTTTGTTTGTTTTCTTAATCCCCTTGTCATAATGTGTTTATGGAACCTTAGAATGATATACTACTCAACCTTAAATGCAGGAAATGGAGAAGTGTATACATGGGGTTGGAAGGAATGCATTCCTTCTGGAAAGGTTCTTGGAGAGCCAGCTGTAGACAAGGAGGTAAACGATGGACAGAGTTCATTCCTGGCACAGCAAGGTATTTTCGGATTGGCTTCACTGTCAGAAAGAAGCACAATCTGCTATTTACATTTTACAGAGTAATATTTTGAAGATTAACTTTATCACAGTAAGCCCTCACCCCCAGGGATCGAGGTCCACGGTTGGAGCAGTATCTGGTATAGAGACTAGAGCTGGAGAGGATAGTGCAAAACGTAGACGGGTATCATCAGCTAAGCAACAAGCTGAGAGCTCATCCTCAGGTGATGAAGGTCTCTCAGCATTGCCATGTTTAGTCGCATTAAATCCAGGGGTACGGATTGTCAGTGTAGCAGCTGGTGGCCGGCATACACTGGCATTGTCAGGTAACTTTGTATGTCTTGGATAAACTTGCTTCAACACATCATACAGTTGTCCGTAGCTTCCTGGAGCATAATTTGTGTACATCGCCCTTTTGTGAATTATATAGTTACATTGTTAAAGAAACCAAAGAAGAATGACATTTTCTTTTTTCATTTAGATATAGGACAAGTGTGGGGTTGGGGCTACGGAGGGGAAGGACAGCTTGGTCTAGGCTCCAGGATTCGAATGGTATCCTCCCCACATCCTGTGCCGTGCATTGATTCTTCTTCTTCTCTGCGAAAGGACAGAGCTATGGGCCTTTCTCATGGATGTCCGGGATCAGAGGGACAAGGCCTCAGAGTTCCAGGGAATTATGTCAAGAGAATTGCCTGCGGGGGCCGACACAGTGCAGTAATTACAGGTTCGCATTCTAGTTCTTGTGTAGATATCTGGGATAGTCATCAGTTGGTTATACCTACATTTCAGTACTTGTTAATCAGCATGAACTTTAGTTATCAATTCGTACCTACATTTCATATGACTGTTGTTCTCATACTTTCCATGTGTTTTCTATTGGTACATTATTGTATATGGTTTCCCTCTTGCAATCCTATAATTCTTCAATCATTTTACTTATTACTTTTCCCTCCGGGATGGGGGAAAAGTTTGCGTACACTCTACCCTCCCCAGACCCCATTAGTGGGATTCTACTGGGTTGTTGTTGTTGTAATTTTACTTATTACTTATTGCTGCTGGTTTTCAAGGCAGATGCTGGAGCATTGTTAACTTTTGGTTGGGGATTGTATGGACAGGTGAGTTTCCTGGGATCAGTCTATTCCATAGTGAATTTAAGCACTGGAGTTATTTCAAATAAGCTATATTCTTGATGAAATACTAAACTTATGTTATTTCCGTGTCTGCCTATGTGTATATACATGCACCGTATATGTAAAAAGTAAAGTAATATATGCCTCATGACACTATTTTCTATTAACCCAATCGCACTGGACTTGAAGAGATCTGCATGCACTATGTTGTAGCACGAGGATCTTTTGAACACTAGGCACTTGACCATAACAAAACTTATGAAGTGGAATTCCACTTCTTCCATAAGAAAAAAATATTTCTTAACAAGAGAAAGAAGGAATATTCACTCTCTAAGCTCCTTATGCCAATGCCTAAAGTTCATTTCAGGTTTGAGAATTTGCCTAGAGGTGCTTTGAACTTGGAAAGGCATAGCAAATTAACGGTAATCATATTATAAGATTCTTTTATTTATTAAATAGCATATTAAGTGCCGATGCTGCATTTGCAGTGTGGTCAGGGGAGTACAGATGATGAGCTAAGTCCGACGTGTGTATCTTCATTACTTGGCATCAGGATAGAAAGTGTAGCAGCAGGGCTCTGGCACACTGTTTGTATTTCTGCAGATGGTGATGTATATGCATTTGGAGGGAACCAATTTGGGCAGTTAGGCACTGGCGCCGAACAGGCTGAGGTACATTTTTGAATTTGGTTCTTTTTCTTCTAACCAAACAATAGGTCTGTTGGTACAGTTACAACTATTAATATAAGAGGCTTCCGAAATCTGGGTAACATATCATACGGTGAAATGTGGTTTGCTTACTTGGAAATACTGGCAAAGTTTATTGGTCAGTAGGTTTCCTGCATTATAGACTAAACCAAGAGATTCAGATCTTTTCCTATCTAGTACTAAACTTTTACTTTTATCTATAATATCAGACACTACCTCGGCTCCTGGATGCTCCAAATTTGGAGAACATGCATGTGAAAGTTGTATCATGTGGAGCACGACATACTGCCGTAGTCACAGGTATGACTTGTATCTGCATCTTGAAAACTTTCTCCTGCTAGACATACAACGGTTAGACCCATCAGAAGATGCAGTGAAAAGATGGGGGGATGTCATGGCTAATTAGATGAAAATCAAGGTGACAAATGAGCTTGTTAGTATAGAGTCAAAGAAACTTCAATACTCGGAAGTGTACACAGCCTGATAATTATTCGAGTGAATATGATAACGCGGAAATGGTTTTTGCTGCCGAATTATTTCCATTAGTGAGTTGGTTTCAGAGGTTAATCCACCAAATACCAATTTCTATATAGCAGGACTTTTTGTTTGTAACTTTTCTGAGAGAGCCTATTCATTGATCAATAGAGTAAACTTGATGGGCGTCAACCCATGACACCATAAGTTCTTGAAGTTAGTTAATTAAGGACTTGTAAACACTTACAATTGCACAAGCTTGAACAGCTACAAGGTCCTCAGCAAGATTGACTGAACGCTTGCAATGCCATTTTTTTCCAGAATTCGTTTTCTTATAATGGTCTATAACTAGGGGTTAAGGACTAAATGAAAGATGGATAACCTTTTGGAGAACATGAATATTTTTTTTTGGTATCATGGTTGGCTTTCTTCTTTTTATCATGATTTGATCTGTATCTACCATAAATATATAGCTGAGGTATCCGAGGGGAAGAGTGTGAATTCTCATATGGGAAACTCAGTTAAGCAATTTCTCCTACAATCAACATATGATTGTAGAGGTGTTAGAAACTGTCCTTTCTTGAGCTAGAAGTCTAATAGGAATAAAAGCATATATGCTTGTTGAAGTGGTCTGCTAAAAAAACGCTAGAAGAAGAAGAGCGAAAATGGAAGCAGTGTCTATTTTGTAGGCCATAATAGCTTATTGTACCGTTCTGATAAGTTGTTCAGCTTATTGTACAATCTTCTGGATAAACAGCAACTAACAGTTTGTTCATACTAGAGAGTGTTCTCTTTTTTTTAAGCTCATCTAACCTTTCTGCCGTTTTGTTTTATGTAGATGATAGCAAAGTGTTCTGCTGGGGATGGAACAAGTATGGCCAGGTACAAGCTTTAGGTGTATTCAGCATATTTTCTCCTTGGAGTCATAGGTTTCAGTCATTGCTCAAGAATGGGCTCGCTTTATATGTTATCTTACCGATTTTGTATAGGAACGTGCCAGTTTGTTAAGTTTATTTATTTGGCATTCTACAAGTGTGATGATCTATTGAACAAATGGCTTCATCTTTGTGCAGCTTGGACTGGGTGATGTGATTGATCGGAATATTCCATCCCAAGTCTCAATCGATGGTCATGTACCAACAAACGTCGCTTGTGGGTGGTGGCACACACTTCTACTAGCTGAATCACCTACTTGAACTACTCATCATATTGATGCCATTCAAAGTTTTGTTAGGTTAGGTGCTTTCGGTTTTCTATTTCAAGATCCTCATTGTGATATATGCATATGGTACATATAGTAGTTTGCATGCATATACATATTAGGCATGGAGTGATTCTTTACAAGAATAAGGAGGTCATCATCGTCCTTCCAAGCAACAACTTGGGAAGAACGAGAAGTCGTCTCTATCATGTCAAGACATCTTAGTCTGTCAGTGTAAATCCTCTCCGCGACTGGATTTTCTGATGTATGAAAGAAACTCTATAGCATTAGAGCAGTCATTGTGATAGCTTTTGTGGTACCTTTGCACCCGGGTTCCTTTACTGTGTACTTCATATTGTGTAGTGAGGGATGATTGAAATGCGATCTCTTTATTATTATGCAGAACTGGGTTCAGATCTCTGCCAAGACTTACCATTTCAAATCTTGTGTTTCCTTTTTCCTTCCCTATCGTCATAGAATGGCTCTATGTATGGTGTTTTGTCTATTGAATGTGGTGCTTAGCTAATTTGATGGACAAGCTTCAGTTACTTTTTTTTTTCTTGCAGTTCGAAAAAATAGTCAGCATTTTCAAAATAATTGAAAAATAGTCACTATTTAATGAGTCTGGATTAGAATACAATTAGCGGAAATAACAAAAAAAATTCAATATAATATGTTGGATTATGGAACTCTTGCGTATAGAGGCAGATACAAAATTTAAATTCTATGAGTTCAATATTTAAGGGGTTTAATATTGAACCCATCATTTTTGAAATTTATGGGTTGTATTCACTATTTTTTACAATTTAATAAAGTTTACATATAAATTTGTGTTTTGCAAGGGGTCAATTGAACCCGTAAGTATTGTGTTACATACGGCACATTAAAACTTTAGCATATTATGTTGAAATTTCATATGGCAAAAATTCTGTTGAATCTTTTTGAATCTTAATGAATTGTATTCTTGTTTAGATTTTATTTTTATATGAAAAGGTGACTGATTTCGATTGACTTTTAAATTATGGCTAACTTCAATTAGTAGCTTTAAATCAAGCTAATCCTGAATTTCATCCTGATATCTGCCATGGATGCCCCATTTTTTGTAGGATTTGCATTAGGTAGCCGATTTTAAGGGTGCTATTTAAAACCTATCCAGTTTTTTTAAAAGCATTTAAATTTTAATCAAGGATGGCAAGTTAGCTGGACTTGCGCTTGAAGAGGGCAAAGGTATTTAATTCAACTTAGTCACGTGATGGTGTTTGATCAACCTTTCTCCCCTTTGATACCACTGCCCTAAGATTGGCTCAACGTCTATTTATATTTTGGGTTTATTGTTTTAATTATGCTGCTATCGTTTGCCTTTTTTCTTTTTCTTTTTTGGTTAAATAATTATTTTATTACCAATTTAGCACTAACTATATGTACAGTGTTAAAAGAAACAAAACAAGTAAATAGTAGGTTTTGTGAAATTGTTTTTCTTTATTCTCCAATTCTTTTTTTTATTTCTATGCTTCTTTTCTTTTCTTTTCTTTTTTCTTTTCTCCTTTTCTTTTTTCTCGTTTTCTTCTTGTTTTTTTCTTTTTTCCTTTTCTAATTTCATTTAACTTCTTTTTTTTTATATTCTTTTTCTCTTCATAATGTAATTTCATTTACTGTGTTCACTATTTTTTATTATTCTTTTTTTATATTATTCCTAAAGAAAATTCAAATTGTATACCAATTAAATGTAGTTGATACAGCCAAAAAAATATTAACTAACATATGATACCAATATAGTATATAGCTATACCAACAGGGTATACAATTGTACGTAAAGAGTTAAAAAAATTTATTCAATTATTAAGCTGAAATAATATCAGTTGTCAATAAAAATTTCAAAAAATTCTAAAAGGATCTAATTGTAAGAGTATACCGTTATATTATATATCATACTATAATATATATTTTTTGCATTTCAATTTGCCCCTCACGTAGGGTAAAAGCTTAAAGCAAATTAAAGGGAAAAAGGCAAGTGAATTTACGTGTAATAAGTATACTATTATAGTATAGTGTATACTATTATAGTATAGTGTATACTATTATAACATACTGTTATAGTATATTGCATATTATTATAGTATACTATAATAGTATATTGTAGCGGTATACTGTTAGGTAACTGTGTTCTTCTTCGATTATTACAATATACCGTTGCAGTACATTGTAAACTATAATAGTATACTGTTGCAGTATAGCTATGTACTCCTACTTCATATTGTATACCATAGCGGTATATTGTAGTTGTGTTCTTCGATTTTCAACTGAAAATTTCGATCTCAATCACCTCAAATCAGCTCCAACCACTATCAAATTTCAGTATGAACTTCCAGAAGGTACTATAAGCAATATCTAACAACACCCACTTTAAATATGATTAAGGTAATAAACAATAATTGCAATTTGTATAACTTTCTTAGCATAAAAAAACAAAAATAAATTTAAGGATATAAGTTCCATACTGCAATTTTTCGCACTCATCAAACACAAAAGGACAAACTTAATAAATAAATAAAAAAGAGGGGAAAAAACAAGAAAGTGATAAAGAAAAACATGAGTGGGGGAAGGGGTTTCACAACTAAATAGATGATCGGATTCCTAAGGGCTGATTCGTCTTTGTGATTAATACCCACTTAACGATTTTATGTATAAACACTAATGCATCTATTATAAGAAAAAAATTGAACTGAATGGGTACAATGAATTCAACCTTTTATGGATGAAACGGAAATAATTTTGATACGAATTGGGGTAACATATTTACCCTTTAATGGGTACCGTGAATTCAGAAATAACATGTTTTAGGAAAAAAACGGGTAAATCGTTTGGGTCCCATGGGTAAGAGTAGTAAATAGTTTGGGCCTGGGCATTAAATAGTAAATAGTTTAAGATTAATGGTAAAAATAACACGGTATAGCCAGTTTTCGGATTGGTCATTCAAAAATAGCCAGCGGTGTACGAAGTCAATGAAAAATAGCCACTATTTTGCTGCAACAGAGACCGGCCTAGCATAATATACTGGAGTTCGGTGCACTTGTATATGAACTCCAGCATATTATGCTGGACCGGTATACTTTGCTGACTCCAGTATAATATACTGGCGTATTTTTCGGGTTTTGAATAGTGTTTTCGCTCAGATTTATCTTTACATGAAAAATGGCTAAAATTCGATTACTTTTGAAACTGAGCTAGTTTTGAATGAGAAAAACTAGAATAAGGCATAGGCAGTTAAAAAAAAATAAAGAATTGTCTGAGCCCGGGTTCGAACCGGGGACCTCTAGTGTGTGAGACTAGCGTGATAACCAACTACACCACCCAAACAACTTGCAAGAAGGATGTCGTTTAATTTAAACTACGAAATCAAATATTTATAAATACGTATTCAACTAATTTGGGCAATATTAGGATCAAATGCGTCTTACTAGTAATAGAATTATCAATTAGCATTGCTGTTTGGTGAAAGAATCTTGTTTCCTTTTTTATACAAAATTAAGTGGGCGTTTGGACATAAGACTTGTAAATTTTTTAAAAAAAGTAAAATAATTTTTCAAGTTGAAAATAATATTTGAAAAATAGAATTGTGTTTGGATATAAATACAATTTGAAGTTGTTTTTACATTTTTGTGAATGCTTTGAAATGAAACTTTTGAAAAATAATTTTTTTAGAATTTTTTAAATTTTAATTTTAAGTAAAAATTAAAATTTTCATGTCCAAATATTAATTCTGAAATAAAGTGAAAAGAATTTTGAAAAAAGGAATTATTTTATGGGGAAACGAGCGTTAAATTTGGTAAGAATAGTAGATAATCATTAGAGAAAAAGACAGTGCATGGAAATTGGGAGAACAAATTTTAATTATACATTTTGTCCACTAGCTCAATCCTCCAATCACCAACCCAGTCGCATTTTTAGTTTATCATCATACCATCAACCGCCACTTCTCAGTACTCTGCTCCACCCACTAACTCTACGCTTCACATCTCCACCTCCACCTCAGATTTCCGGTTCGTCGCCGCTGCCCTTTTTTTATTTTTATTTTTTTTATTTTTATATATAGTTAACAACAGAAATGTATATTTTTAATTGCGGACAATTTTTTTTCTATAAATATGGATATTATATGCATATAGTACATATTTTATACACTTTTTGGGTCAATTTTGTATGTGCCCATTTTTATAGCGCTGATTGGTTTGCTGTGCTATTTGTTCAGGTTTCAGCTCTCGTGTCCGAATCAAAATGTCTCAAGGTACGTGCCCCTAATTTTACTTACCAATGATTTATTGTTTTCTAAATCACTGCCTATATAAGCTTCACAAAGCGTAATTGGTCCAAGTTTGAATAAATAGGAGGGTTGCGGTAGGTTGACAGCCAGAGGAAAAAGTGAATCTGTTGAGATTAGAGGAAAAAGTGTATCTTTGAGATTAGATACACAGGATTTATATAATTGATCCCAATTAATTGGATTTGTAGTTGATTAATTGATTTATATACTTCAGACATGCAATATTTTTACTGCTTTTCAATTGATGATCAGGAGCCGATTTTGGATTTGAAGTCTTATGAGTTCCTATAATGACTTCAAGTTAATATACGACAATAACTGAAATCACTGTGGAATATTTTTAGGTAATTAGTGGATTTCTTAATACATATACAGGGTTTGGGAAAAAGCATTCGGGTTCATGAAAATCCATAGGTTACAGTGTGGATATGTCTCTGTTGATGATTACTAGTGTTTATTTATCAATGTACTTGTTCTGATTGGATTGGTGATTGGTGATTGGTGAAGCTGGTGAAGGTAAGGATGAAACAAAACCAGCTATGTCTCCATATGAAGAGGCAATGGAGGCATTATCGTCATTAATTACAAAACGCAGTCGAGCTGATAAGAGCAATAAAGGCGATAAATTTGAATTGCTCTTTGACTATATCAAGGTTGTTTTTCTTGTTCTTTCCCTTTGCCCGTGTTATATACTGGTGAATTGTTGATATGCGTCTAGCTGAGTGATATTTCTACTGAAATGGGTTACAGATGCTGGAGCTAGAAGAGCCGATTAAGAAGATGAAGGTTATCCATGTTGCAGGTACCAAAGGAAAGGTAATGAGTTATGCATGCTCTAATATGAAGGGGAGCGTTGGAACAAAGTTAAAGTTGTCTCTGTGTGACCTATAGGTCACGGGTTCGAGCCGTGAAAGCAGCCACTTATGCTTGTATTAGGATAGGCCGTCTATATCACACCCCAGGGAGTGCGGCCCTTCCCCGGACCCTGCGTGAATGGGGGATGCTTTGTGCACCGGGCTGCCTTTTTTTCATAGGCAAGTTTGAATCTTGTCACCTATTCTTGATTGGGATTTTGGATTTTGAGTAATTGGGGTTGGGTAACATATCATAGTGTCCTATTAGACCTTGTTGATATCTCGTTCATAAATGTTTGCATATCTCCAACAGCTTTGAAAGAATGTTTTGCACCTTCAAAGTTCGAGCAACTTATGTTCCGGTCTTTTATTTTCTTAGCACTTCTCTAGTTATTTGCTTGAATGTCGTTTGTTCATTTAACAAGTATAATCCTATTTCCTCTTTTTTCTTTCTTTTGTTTGTTTCTTCTTGTTTTATTCTTTTATTAGTTTTTCCCTTGGGAAGGATTTCCAATTTTCTTAATGTAATCCATGTTATCAAATGCCTATAAAATTGTAAACTATATGCGTCAACTATCTTAAGCTTATCCCTTATGCCCATTCAAATCGTTGGATCAGTTGAAAAATTAACATTGGTTGTTGCTGCAAGTCAAATTTAAGTGCTATAACAACTTCTACCTAAAAGTACTCTTGATATTGATCAGATTTAGTGATACTGCTATGCCAAACATCTATGGTGTGAAGTGGGCAATGCCAAACAGTGTTAGAAGCCTGCTGGAAAGTTGGCAGGGTCAATCAGTAGGCAAAAGGAATAAAAAGATGTGGATGACCATTCCCTTATGCATCATGTGGACCATCTGGCTAGAAAGGAATAAAAGATGCTTTGAAGATCAGAGGACCCAAATTCGTACGCTGAAAAATAATTGTTTGCAGAATCTATATTTTTGGTGTACGGAAAGGGTAGTAGGAGACTTGGTGCAGCTGTTAGATTTTATGGAATTGTAGAATATTTATTTGTAATTTTTTCCTATGATGTTTTGCTTGTACTGTGAAAGTACCCCCTTGGTACTTTTTTGAAGCTTCTTAATAAAAGTTACCTTATCTGATCAAAAAAGATTTAGTGATACTGCTCTAAGATTGTAAAAATGAAAATATTGGCAAATATACTGATTACTTTTGGAGATATAAAGGATGCTTGTGGCATAATATTAATGCAGACAAGATATACAGTCTATTCTGTGCTAATTTCTATTTTTAAGCGTTCTTCCAAAAGTTTTGCTTTTGATATGCTATAGCGTCACAGAAGAAGCATGTAATATCAACTTGTTTACTAATGGTTTGTATCCCTCATTGTTTTTTGTTATGCGTGTCATGAAGGGTTCAACTTGCGTCTTCACAGAGTCTATATTGCGCAACTGTGGCTTTCGTACCGGGCTTTTTACATCTCCTCACCTCATTGATGTTAGAGAACGATTCCGATTGGATGGGTGAGTGAGTTTTCTGTACAGATGTTAGGAACATCATGTATTCTAGATCAGTTAAAATTGAAAATTTCTTCCATTTTTTAAATAAGAACTTAACATTATTCCAGTTGCTGTGAAATTGTGTTGGTCATGTTGGAGTACTTGATTGTCGGTTTCTCAATCTCTGCTTGTGTGATTGGATGTTGATATAAGATATAAATTGCTAACAGACTCTTGATTTCTTCCACCTGATATCAAATTTTGAATTTTTTAAGCTTGCATTAAAGCTCGATTGATAACTCTGTCATTAAACTTGGTTTCTTTCAGTATGGACATATGTGAAGAGAAGTTTTTGGCATATTTCTGGTGGTGTTTCGATAGATTCAAGGCAAGTAAATTAATGTTTCTTTTGAATGTTAATATATTCAATTACTCCATTCCCTTTTAAGTGTTAGGCACAATGATAGTTATATGTAGTACTTCTCTTGCACAATTAATATTCTTGATTGAACCTCAGAACCCGAAGTAGTCTTTGTAAATATGACTCAAGAATGATTTGCCATATTCAAGAGAATTCTTGCTTAATGAGTAGTTTTTGAATCTAAACCTGGTTCTTTGACAAGTGCTGCTGAAAAATTCCTATGTAGTGTGGTTATTCTAACTTGAGTTGCCAACGGCACTTGAGCGACTCTAGTGAAGCTCCTTCCTGATGCACGACCTGGTCTTTTTCCTTCCTTTGTACTTAATCCTAACTAAATTGGAAACGCCAGCATACTTTTCAGACATATAAATTACTGTCATCTTCACTCTACTCGATGGGTTGTCAGTTACATTATAAAAATTAAATCTAAGATGACTTTTCAAGTCTCTATCATGTTCTTGGGCCATTTACGCACGATTCATAATTCATTGGATATTTGAGTGAGATTGTTCTCATAATGTGCATATTATACTCATTTGATTGTTTAATGAGTGATCATTGAATAGTACATTCAAGTTTATCACTCTAATTCAGAAATGTGTGGATATTTGTTTAAAAAGAAAATTTCTCGTCATGACTAAACACTGATTATGAAAAAGCAATTTATTCAATAAAACATACACTGATTAATCAGTTGAAGACGCCCCTAAATCCTAATATGTAGTTTTTCATCTGGAAGATAATAGGGGAGAGGTGCGAGCAAATCTAGCTTGCTCGATTTTGCTAGAATGCATTCTATTCCATTTTTAAGGTCGTTAGGCACAAAGGACGGCCATGTAATGATTCCAGCACAATTCATCTGAAATTCATTTTTGTCATTGCTGTTTGAGAGATGATCTCTCGCCGTACTTTAAAATGTTTCTCTTTGTTGGCATTATTCCTTTGTTTATATTGTGGAGATGGAAAGAGCGAGGTGCATGTTCTAGGTAATAACCCTTTTTCTAATGTGGGATAAGGCGATAAGCACAGCTCAGAACTTGAATTTAATAACTCTAACAGTGCTATTGCTCACATTTCTTGACAGCTCCACTGAGTCCATTTATTTTCTTCATCTAGTTGTAATTTGTAAAAATTGCTCCTGGGCAAGTCACAAGTTAATTTTTCTTTTCTTGTTGACCATTTTCAAGATAGATAATTTTATAATGCTTATATTCCATGGTTGCGGTCAAGCTCCTGAAGATGTGTAATTATAATCCATCATTAGTAGCATTTCAATAAAAGAAAACGTGAACTAGCCTGATTTTATTCTATCAAATTTTGCATAACATGAAACTCTGGTGTCAGATCTCCACAGTATGAGAGGAAAAATGACTATTTTCTTCTTCTAATGGATGATTTGACCTAAACTGTTTATGAAAGGTGATTTTCAGTGTTCCTTGTGCAGGAAAGAACCAGTGACGAGGTTCCAATGCCCACGTACTTTCGCTTCCTCGCGTTACTTGCCTTCAAAATATTTGCAGCAGAGCAGGTGGGTCCTGGTGACTTTCCATGGCAAAATTGGCATCTGAATATAACATTCACTATTCGAAAATGGAGTTTTGAACTTTATTTTTATCAGAACTAGTCATTTTTTGAGAATTGTACTGTGGTGCAGGTAGATGTTGCTATCTTGGAAGTTGGATTAGGAGGCAAATATGACGCAACAAATGTGGTACTTAGTCGACATATTGGACAATGTTTGCTACAGTGATCTATTCATTATATCAATCTGTCAGTCATTTTTGGATATCCACTATGATGGTGCGTGTTATTCTTCTCAGGTTGAGAATCCAGTTGTTTGTGGTGTATCTTCACTTGGATATGACCACATGGAAATTCTTGGTTAGTGTTTCTTCTTCAGTAATTCTAGGAAGCTGTTTAGTCTTAGTTTAAAATTATCTAACTTCGAGGACATCTAATTTTTAGGATGATACAATTGAATCACAAATTTAAAATTAAATATTATTCGGCTCTTAACATTTGATTTATCAATTTATTCTAGCACAAGTTGCCCTTTTTTTCTTTCTTCCTTTTCATATATTCATACGTTTGCACAGGTGGAGTCTAAAACTCCGAGGATAGAAAGAAATCAAATGTTGGGACTAAATTGAATATTGGGTCAAATAATTAGGAACAAAAAATGGAATCTACCCCATAGGAGTTAATATAGAAGATTTGAACAGCATTATCTTTAATTGGTATGTGGCCTTTGTCTGTTTATCATGCTACAACTTAACTGTGCTAGCATATTCTACTTAACGCTATAGAATGTAGATTGCAACTGCAATTCTGCTAGTACTGCATAACTACTGCTCAGTCATTTAGGAAAGAGTAACTGCTATATGTAGTTACAATATTCTCAAGATTGTTGATGGATATACCATGTAAATGACTTTCGGTTTAAATTTTAATTATATAAAATGAGGATAATCACCCGCAATTTTTTTTGTTAACTTTACAGAATGTGCTTGAAATTTTAGATGTCATCTACCTCAGAAAATGTTACAAAATGGCATTAAAGCTTTTTCTACAAGTCTTACTGTTTAGATGTTTGATCTATCATACTTCATCATTTGCATTTAAGTTTAACCCAGAGCTCTATTGTGTCTATTTTATGATATTAACGTGGTGGAGCATCTTGATCTTGTTTTGATTGCTTCTATCATCATGCATGAACTACTATCATCAGGAAATACTCTTGGACAAATTGCTGGAGAGAAGGCAGGAATCTTCAAGGTTGGAGGAATATCACATCTTATAAAATTGTGCCCCTTGCTTAAACAAAGTCATCCTGTTTTAGGCTTTTAATTTCATGTCTTGTTCATTTCTTTTCTTTCTCATCTGTGTTTGTGCTTGACATAGCGAGGAGTGCCGGCCTTTACTGTTCCCCAGCCCGATGAAGCAATGCTTGTGCTTGAAGAGAAGGCTTCTGAGTTGGATGTAAGTCAAAATTTCTCTTATATGATATAAGTGTTAGTTGCCTTTTGTTCCTAATGCTTATACCCTTTTCTCAACTGTGACCTTGCACTTTAGATTTCATCACTGGTGTCTTTTATTTCGAGGGACTTGCAGCTGGCACTTTAATCAGCTTCCGGTTGAAGTCTACAGGATAATTATATATAAGCCATTTCAAAGAATCTAAAGAGAGGCACACTAAAATGGAAAAGTGACAAAAGATCTGTCTCCAAAGAAGGACATCATCCCCCTGGCCCCCTCCTCCACCAGATAGGTATAACAGAAGCAATCAGCAATCCCACCCCAAGAAACATATGTCAACCTTCCCTTCCTTCAAATCACCCTTCATGGCCACCTACTTGGGCCAAATTCAGCTGCCAAGAGTTAAAAACAAAAAGCCTAATAGCCTGTTTGGCCAAGCTTCTTTTTGGCCAAAAATTGAGGTGTTTGGCCAAGCTTTTGGAAGGAAAAAAGTGCTTTTGAGGAGAAGCAGAAAAAAAGTAGCTTCTCTCCAAAAGCACTTTTTTGAGAAGCACTTTTGAAAAAAATACACTTAGAAGCAGTTTTTTAAAGCTTGGCCAAACACTAATTGCTGCTCAGAAGTGTTTTTCAAACTAATTAGCCAAACACAAACTGCTTCTCACCAAAAGTACTTTTGAAAAAAAGCACTTCTCAAAATAAGCTGATTTTTGCAGCTTGGCCAAACAGGCTATAAATTGGCCCCCATAGCTTAGTTCAAGTGGCAAAGGTTGAGGGACTTGTGACCTAGGTCACAGGTTCGAGCCTTGCACCATGCGAACTAAGCCTGATGTTTAAGTGAAGAAGGGGGGGGGGGGCATTATCCCTGCGTTTTGGAGGCTACGGCTGGTCCTGAGGGGTGATCCCCCAGACAAATTTCTAGGTCATTAAAAAAAAGGAAGAAAGAAAAAAAACCAAATTATTGATATCAAACATGAGAACAATGTGTACATGAGGGTTGTCTTAATTGGTAAGATATATTACTGGACAATTAAAAGAACCGAAAAGGATGAAGTACACTGAAGTGATGTAGTTGCCGGGAATTTCCTTCTATCTGCAGCATATGGTGAGCTTTTCATATCACCCACTTTTTTTCTGATTGAACTTCATATAGAGATCTTTATCTTTGGTTTTGTTTCTACTCTTATTGAACATTTATAATTTTTCAACTCCACTATTAAAATCTGTGAGTGTTACAAGCTTAGAAAACCAAAATGACAGATGTGGGCAAAGAGGGCAGTCCGGTGCACGAAACATCCCGCATTCACGCAGGGTCCGGGGGAGGGCCGCAAAATGACAGATGTGATATCACTTTAAATTTCATGATACCTTCTGTAGCACTTACTTCACATCACCAGCATGTCTAATTTGGCCAAAATGGACAAAGATTCATTGTGAAGAGTGAAGACTGGAAGTATGAGTTCAGAAAGTGCACAATGAAAGCATGGTGATAACCAATTAAGTAGCTGTAGGTATAAATGTAATATTTGTATCAGACACTAGACAGAACATAATGGCTTTTGTAATTGGTTGCGGGAAGAATTTTGTTGACTCTCAAGTGTTAGGCAACATTAGACCAATAAATATTTGGTGTTTAAGTAGATACGTGGAATTCCATTAGATCAGCGACTAAATTTACAATATTTAGCTCAAAGGTGAGAGGAATAAAAAAAAAGCAGTAACTAGTTTACTTGCTGACTTCCAAGGGCAACTTCATCCAAATATATTAACTGGATGATTAAATGTCTTTCAAGTTGGGCAGAATGGCAGATTTAAACTTTAAGCATGGGAAAACTATACTGAAATGAAAGGTCAGCATGGGAATTCATTTAAGAAAAAATTCTCATGTCAGATATCTCTGATCAGCTTTTCCTTCATTTTAGGGAAGAAATTCTCATCTTTGATCTCTGATCAACTTTCCTTAACAGGAACAGAGTTCTGTTAAGAAGTTTCTTGTTGATGTTAACATGTATTGTTGTTGCAGGTACATCTTGAGGTAGCTGCTCCACTTGATGCCAACATGCTGAGTGGTTTACATCTTGGGCTAGAGGGTGAGCACCAATATATAAATGCTGGTCTTGCCATTGCATTATGCTCTACTTGGCTACAGAGAACTGGCCATGTTGAAATTAATTACCTAAAAGAGATGGTAAATGATATCTAATGCATGTTGTATACTCCGTATTCCTCTATTTCCTCCTTTTATCTTCACCCTTTTGTTTTTTTCCCTTCAAAATAGACAAATCTACCCGAGCAATTTGTTAAAGGGCTAGCAACAGCTGCTTTACAAGGCCGTGCACAAATTGTGCCTGACCAACTTATAGAGAGTGAAAGCTCAGGGGACCTTGTGTTCTACTTCGATGGTGCCCATAGTCCTGAAAGCATGGATGTATGTGCCAAATGGTTTTCTCTGGCAATCCAAGGAGATTACAAGCAGCACAATTCCTATGGGAGTAATCGAGGACATAATGAATTGGGGGCTTCACATGATTCAGTAGAGATGGGCCATCATGAAGCATCCAAGAAAAGTTCAACTCAAGTAAGCTTATCTCAATTTCATTTGAAGGATTCCTTGTATGGCTAATTTGGACTACATGCTGCTTATTAGTGTATGAATTTTAAAAAGCACGAGTTCAATTTAAATTATGCCAAACTTCTGCTTAAAGAGAGCTCAAAGTGATGTGTTGATTTGAAGCTTAAATTTAAAAGAAAAAAGAGTTGCAACCTTAAATATGGAGAGAAGGCTAGTAACTGGATATTAACAGACTGAAAATGGTTTACCAAGAAAGTGCTTCCTGTTGCTGGAGCAGCATGTGTCACAAGAGTTGGTTGGTAAAAGTCAAAATATAAATGGATGAGGCCGGGATGAAGGGTTGACCTCAGCAGTATCATATATCTGCTTTGCATCTCGCTCGACAATGGTCCATTTGTTGGCGCGTGAAAAAGGTGGTGTCAGACTACCTAGAATTACTAATAATGTGTCACAGCGTTGATGAGGGTGCAGTTTGGTGAGTTCTGCTTTATGAATTTAGAGCTTGTTGCTATTGGTGCGTAGCAAGAAAAATAAGATTTCTTCTCACAATTGCTCTGATGCCATTTCAAAGACGAGAGAAAAGATTAGGAGAATGTGGGGTACAAGTGTTTTTATCCTAGTACTAACCTAAATATGTATAAAGCTGTAGTACATGATGGTAATGCAACTTAGCTTTCCCTAATTCTAATATGTGACTATTGCTCCCTTATCGCAATTCATATGACAGCCTGTATGATTGCACCATTTTCACTAATTATTGTGTAAAACTTTAAAGATTTAAAAAATTCAAAAAAAGTTCAACTTCTTTTTAAGTTAATTATTCAAAAAATTTACTTGGGTGTGACTCATGAGAGATCTATGTAACCCCTTTTATCAGTACAGATCTTTTTGGCAGGCCTGACTCTCAAACTTAGTTGATGACTGGAAGACTATTCTTTGGATACTTGTCTCAGCATTATGTTTTGAGGCGAATACACCCTTTGTTCTCATTCAATCTTTAATGAACAAGTGATACGACTACACATATAAAAAAAAGAAAAAGAAAAAGAAAAGTGATACAACTTCTCAAATATATTTCTCAGATGATTCGCAAGCATATGAATTTTATTGTAATTAAATAAACTAATCTATGAATTTTTTTTGTAGTAAATTATTAAAAAGCTAATCTAGGTTCAATCGTCCTTCCAAGCATTGGTCTAATATTTTGGATCTCTACTGCAGACTAATAAGCAGTTGTTTTATAAACATAAATATCTGATGTCTAAAAAGTGTAACCGGGGGGGGGGGGTGGTTTA